CTTTTCCGCCTAACTTCAGATTGTCTTCTCCAACAATAGCGACTACTGATTCCAGGGTGTGCAAAGGAGAAACTACCACTTCGACCCACCTGCGTGTGTGCTTACCAATTCATTTGCTTTTCTAGAGTTTGTTACATAAGTCGCACAAAGCTTGTCCTACCTAAACTCATCTCTGAACACTATCCTGCATGGTTGTCAAAAGGAGACTTCAAAGCCATTAGCAGCCAGATTATTGAGTATTCGGTTAACTCCAGTCGCTCTATTCCGCAAGAATTTTACTTTAGAGCCATTCATAAAGTCAAATCAAACATTCAAAAGGGAGTGTAGATTCACCACCTGAACGCTGCAGAAGCCTTGGCCATTGGTTGGTTTAAACCTGATTGAAGTGTTCAAAAGGGATAAGTCCAACTCCGAATTTTACCTTCATCTTAATCTCCCTGAGATATCTTATTTATTCATTTATTTTATTTTTCAATACCACTATTTTCAACCCCTTTCCCTAACTCGTCGATGGTTGATGTCAGTAGTATTGCCCTGTATCTCTACTTCTACTTCATAGATTATTATATAGTTACCGTATAATTACCTTGTGTTGACCTTTTAATTCTACGAACAATTATGGTTGGCCTTATGTTTACCTTCTAGCCATAATATCATCTTGTGACTCTGTAGGTGACCTTGTGCTGACCAATTAGCCATTTATGGACATATATTTTTACTGCTACCATAAATAAGAATGTAAAGCTTGTCAGAATGATTCATCGTAAAGAAAATCTTCCTAGTTGAATTATCTTTTGTTAATTTATATAATTGGTAAGGCACTCGAGAAGTCAGAATCAAAGATCATGATTATGAACACCGTCAGCTATTTAACTCCCTTTGCTAGGATCACAAGGTTAATTTAAGTATGAAGTTATTATGAAGCGACAAATTCAGTAGGGTACCTTAGTTGAGGTCCATAAAGCTGTAGAAACAACTTATCTAACACTTACGTGCGTCTTAAAAACGTACTCCATACACGACTTTTTGTTACTTCAACTACACAGTGATTTAATATCCAGCCGATATTTCACAGTGCTCATTGATTTAAACTGGTACTGTTAACATAATCGAAGAATTTCTGTTAACTATGAGCTAGATAAAAGTCTTTGGTTCATTTCCACGGTCATTCTTCATACTTAGCACAAAGGTGTATGATAAATTTTATTGTTACCATTGACCTTCGAATTCCTAATTAGTCAAGTAAAGTCATACTTTTCTGTTTTGCTCCAAAAAGAATAAATAAGATGATGAATTAATCAATCGATCAATCAGTCAGTGGGTCCAATTAATAAGTCATGCATTATCCTCATATGAAAAAAACAAGCTCTCGTTAATAGGTTTTCTTAATCATAAATTATTTTTCTTATTACTATTGCCATCGCTATCAACGCCATCATTTCAGTAATGAAAAAGTAGGCTAGAATGATGAGAACACTCTTCATTCTTGTTATTTATACTGTTTGTTTTCTATTCTAATTTCTTTCTGTATGCGTAGGATTTTTCTCATAATTTATTCACAAGTTGACCGAAGATAAAAAAACTGAGAAAAGCATAGATAAGAAAAACTGAGGAGAAAAGAAAAAGGCTAGTGGACAGATGAACAAATGAGAGTAAATAGATAGATAAAATAAATACTAATGTCATCTAATTGCGACAAACCAATAAATTAGATTTATTTATTAATTATTTATTGATTTACCTGTCTATACATACACAGGCTACGCATAAGTGTGCACAGAGTACTAGGTAAATGAGAAGAAAATTTCTCCGTTATTTCTATTAACATTTTATCGGTTCGCCCTTTTTCTTTTCTGTATTGCAGTTTGTTAAAAGAAACAATGTTTCTTTACGAGCCTTGCTCAATGCTCAATGCCAGTCAAACTCAATTAATCGGTTACAAAAGTTTTGAATGGCTTCTGGTCATTAAGCTTTCCCCTCGTTACTTATTACAATTATTATTACTGTAATGGGCAATGTTTATTAGGTTTATTATGATGAGTAAAGTAGTTTTTTTTTGCATATTATCGTATGAATCGTGTTTTATTTATACTATGCTACTAATGAGTAGTTGGGTCTTTCATTTTTACATAAACTTCATCTTGATGAATAATTTTATTATGATAATTACTCATTAGGCCGTGAGTGTTCATGATTAGAAAGATAATGTATCGAGTATGTTTTTAATTTTATCCATACTGTTTCTTTCAACTCTTATAGTTGTTTTTTATGGCATCTCATTTTCTCCTATTATCTCCGACTTGATTCTATGCTACTAACAATTCATATTGAATGGTGTAAAAAGGTGAAAAATGGGATGAAATATAACAGTTGAGTAGTCTGCATGAAAAAGAATACGCTGAAAGTCAAAGTAAACTACATAGGAAGGATATGCAGATATGCAGGATATACTTTTGAAATTAGTGTAAATTAGAAATCTAATTCAAATGAGTGTATCTCAGCGAGTTAATTAAATGCCTAAAACTAACAATCCTAGTAGAATGTATGGCACCATCAAGGTTCATAAAACAGGCTATTCTATCAGGCTAATAGTTGACCTTAGAAAGGCATCAACATTTGAGTTATCTAAATATTTAGCTAAAATACTATGCCTTATTAAAAACTGCTAAAAAACCAGGCTCACTAATTCATTTGGATTGAAACGTAGATTGAATGATGTATAATTAGTGGAGCGAGAAAAGATGGTCAGTTTTGATGTGACGAGCCTCTATACAAATGTACCAGTTCATATGGCACTTGAAGCAGTCAGAAATGAAATCATAACTGAACATGAAATTAGTAATAGGGCTAAAGTCTCTATTGAATAAATTACACTAGGGATAAGATTAAGTTTAATTTACAGTTTTCAAATTTCAAGTCAAAACTTATAAACAAACAGAAGGAGTAGCAATGAGATCTCGAATATCCCCTATCGTAGGAGGCATATTTATGGACAGTCTGGAACGAATAATATTAGGAACATCCCAACCCAACTGAGAAATATGGTGGCAGTATGTAGATGACACATTTACTGTAATGAAATAACAGTATATTCAGAGATTAGTTCACACACATTAACCCGATAGTACATGCAATGCAATTAACTTCTCGATTGGAAAATGAAGAAAGAGAATTACCTGTGTTGGATCAGAAAATCAAGAGGAGAGAGGATGGAAGTTTAGATACGAGTGCTTATAGCAAAATCAGCATATTCGAATAGATACTTGGATTTCACATCATCTCACCCTACATCTATCAAGGTAGGCTTGATAAAATGTATAAGTAATCGGGCTAGGAGTTTGGCTGGTACGTCAGAAAATCTAACTAAGGAACTAAAGCATATCAGAGAGACAATACTTGTTAACAAGTACCCTCGAGGACTGATTGGACAGTCTGTAAGGATTTGTAAAAGGACGAGGGGTAATGTTATTAGTGATTACGACATGCCAAAGAGGGAATTCAGATCCTCTGAAGTGTTGTCATGTGAAGAAGGTGTACCAGAAATTCTACTTAGAATTCTAAACAATACTCGGATTATTGTGGCATTTCAACCCACAAACTCGCTCACACAAAAACTCTGTTGGCTAAGAGGCTCAGTAGAGCCAATTAGTAAGACTAATCTGATCTATCAAACACCATGTAATGATTGTGAGGCGAAGTACATGGGTCAAAAGAGCCATTCTGTGCCAGTCAAGATAGCGGAACACAAAACTTAGCGAAACATACAGGAGAAATCAGCTATCTCTCCGAATCAAATCATACTATAGGATGGGATAGGGTAACATTTCTAAAATCCAATACTGCTAGGTGGATAGAGAGATTAGTCACAGCACCTTTGTTCATTGAATCAACACAACACATGTAACTGGAATGACTGATTACATATTACATATATCTGGAAAATTTTACTACCAGCAAAATAAATAAATGCACTATTGAACTGCATAAATGAAGTCTGAAAGTCGTATGATTACTTTGATGTGAATATGACCAATAAATTCTGCTCGAACCGTCATGCAGTGAGCTATAATGTGCTACTGCGTGCTGTAGCAAATAAAGAATCTAACATGGAATTATACCGTATCACAGTTTTGCCTCACTTTCAGGAAATGTTACATTGTAACATATTTCAAGTATTTCTGGCATCTAGGCTATCGATAGAGCAGAGAAAATGTGGTGTTTTCGTGATGACTATTTGTCAAATAATGTTTTAAATCACATTACCATACATTAGTGACTGCACTTTGCTTCTTGCCAAGTTAGTATTAACGAATAACTCAACTGCTAGAATATTTATCAACTACGAAAAAAAAGAAACCTATACTCATAGGTGTCATATATGACTTTAGAGAAAATATGGAGTTACGCAACAAATTATTTTGTGTTTATCAGCTTATGTCATAATTCTCGACAGTATACTTAGGAATGTAACATCTAGGCTAATACAGTAAGTGTAAAACCTGTTTATCAGATACTGTAGGAAGACTGTATACAATCAATTTGAAAAATGAGATTTAAGAAAACAATTTTGTCGAAGAATTTATTGCTCTGTAAATTACCTTTTAACTCCTCGCATGAAATGAAGGCTTAAGTTTTACCTTTTTCCTTAAAGATTGTTGAAAATAACTTTACTAAGCGATTGATTGACAATAGAAAAGTAGATAAGTAAAACCACTTAGTAAGACGTTTTATTATAACACTTCCCCTACTTCGATGGACTATTTTTGTCATGCCTTTAAATAGTGAATGGAAAAAACTAAAAAAATCCTTTCAGTATGATATCATGAAACTAAGTTAATCCAGATACTTTACTCTGTTTTCGACAACAAATAATGGTGTAACTCGGTATCACTTCTGATTGTAAGGATTATAGTTGCACATGCAAAGAAAAATTTGTAAAATAATTAGCAAATATTAAGGTGTATTTTATGCCCATATACAAGAAGTAAAACACCGCTTACTTGGGAAGATAAACTATCATTTGTTAAACCGTCTTTTGCTATGAGTGTTAGTTTATACGTTTGCGGACTTGGTGGCCGGTACATAGCACAGAGCACACTTGGGGCTTGAGGAATCAGTGCGAATAATCCGTTATAATTATCCAACAGTTCTAGAATACAACAGTCGAGCATTGTATCAGATTCCATGTCTCTGTCAATTACTCGGTGAGGTAGAGGTTCACACACAGGGTTGGCATTTTCCAGAACCGACATTTTATGATTCTCCTCATCTTTTGGCTTCCCTTGATGGCCAGGACTCTTGTCAGATTTTAAGTTGACCAATGAAGAAACATTTGACTGAGTTGTCTCTAGTATGACCAGCGGATTTAGTTGTTCCCATGTGAATGTAACATGTGAACGGTGTGGTTCAATTAAAGTGAACTCAGGTCGGTTATCATTTACATTTAAAATTGTGATTACTACACTTGCTTCCGTTCCAATATGTTTCATTATCATGTTAAAATTTTCACTTCTCATAGATGGTGAACGATGAACAGGAACTTCATTCTCGGCTTCAACTATAAGTGATATAGAAGATCTGGATTCTCTGTCAATTGGACGTCTAGTTCTTAATATACCAGTGTTACGGTCAACTGTAATCAATTTCAAGTCTTCAGCATTACCACGCAGAGTGTAACGAACACGTTGATTGATGATTGAGACATCTTTATCTAGTGCTTCTACAATGCCGATTTCTGTCCCACCTGGTGCATTTTCTAACACCTGAAATCATTTAAAGTGTTTTAATGACATTTAATTTTTGTGAAAAAGAACAACATCACGCTGCTATGTAAACAGAAAGGAGATAGAGTAACACATTACCATTTTTTATATCACTAAATATTTTTCACCTAGTAGTGTAATGCCATATTATTATAAATACTACTATTTACTGATATTAAAATTCACCGTGGTAATTCTGGATCGAGTTTATCAACCTCTGTTGGCATATGAAATCCTAAGCAGATGCTTAGATGCTGTCTGATTTTTGTTATGTTGTAATCTGTTTGGTAGTAGCTAGCAGTATAGTTTATGACTCGTCAGCCGGATGTACCTACACCTCAAAGGCGGATGTTGTTCCCACCGCGATATGAAGCGAGGCCGTATCGTTTCAAAGGCCAAAGCGTTATCCATTAAGTCACTGAGGTACTGGGGTCATATCACATTCACATATTTCTATATGTATTAATCCCAAATGATACTTTTTGATAAATCCAGGTAACAGCATCAAAAACAACTTTGAAAATTCACATAAAGCAAAAAATGCTTTGGAGTTTTGTTGTCTAGGTTGGAATATATACTCTTCGATCAAGTAGTTATTAAGTTTTTAACAATAGCAAACTAAGATGATCGCAAAAATGAATGTAGAAACATTTCTCCTCAGTTAGGTTTTGCATAGGTAAACTTCAAAGGTTAGGATTAAGCTGGTCTATTTCATATACGGGTTACTCATGGAGCACTAGTGAAGTCATTAAGATATGTTATAGCTCATCCTTTGTCGATCCCATAAAACTCAATCCATGAAGCTTGACCTTTCCAAGTTGTTTCACTATCTTATTATGATCTAGGGTTTGTTTCAGCCAGTCAGTTAATTAGTGAAGAAAGACATTTCCCAACATTTAAGTTTGAGATAGCCGGTCACACGTGTAAACAACACTAGCAGTTGTTTTTAACATTCATAAATTGTTGCTTCTGAAGAAACATACATCTCGTTCTCACTAATAGCATCCTAACTTGCGCTTCTTTTTACCACCATAACTAGAGTTTGAAGTGGATAACCATAATCCATTTTGTTAGTCTAGATAAATCATGGATCATTTTATCTCATAACCGTTTCATGAACCTTGCTACTTTCTACTATCTTTTGTAACAAACAACTGCACGACTACCTAAGAATACTAGCAGCCTTTCATAAAGCATCTTGAAAGTTTATGAGACCAGTGGAGCCAACCAAGTCAATCATAAGTACGGTTACTCAGCGATAGCATTTGATGGAGGAAGTGTTATATCGTGAACTGACAGAAGTAGGAAATATGCACTAGTGGATTCTGACTCAGTGGTATATTAGTGACGTGTTGGTCGGGGAACATAAAGATCCTGCGTTCGATCCTTTCGGGGTCATAGGTGCGTACTGCTGAACATTTCCGTACCAGGAAGAAGCAGCTGTCCAGTGCTTGCAGGTCTTCAATGGTTTCCCAATTGATATCAGTCCATGATAAATACCAACATGAAGTTATTCTACATATTCCCTTTAAGACAATCAACTATGCTTAAAGCATTTCCAGCGTGCTTAAGGCCTAATCTATAAAAATAAGTGTGGGCTTCAGACAGAACTGTGGCTCTAAGTTGGTTATCATCAAGAAATATCGTTAGTTTCAAAATCCCTAAATCTTAGGAGCTCCTAATATGCGACTCCTCAGCTGTCCAATGCTCCTAGGTTTTCAGTGATTCTTGAGCTGATATCAGTCAGTGGTGAATATCGCCTTGAATTCGGAAAGTTCCCATAAACCTCCAAAACTTCAAACTTCATCATCAACATAGTGTGAAGAGGTAGTAATGCTATAAAGGTCTAGCTATTTTTCTACCCATAAATAACTGTAGTTAAAACAGGTGGATGAATCAACCCTTTCACTGTAATTTTGATTGAAGAACAGCGGTGAAGTTTATTTAGAAACTTTCCGCAAGAACTTCCGGATTTTATCTCAGTTGAGCCTAGATATTTCGGAAACAAAGTGATAACAGGATACAGTTTTTAATAACCGTAACATGATAACTGAAACTGGAGGTGTAACTTGATACGTAAGGCAAAATTTGAAACACTTTTTTGTGGAGAATGCTACCAAACTGTCATTGATATTTCTCCCAGGTTCAAAACCATGTATGGCATCTAATAATGTTTTTTCAACTGATTGACTACACTACTATAACTTCTAACAGATTTGGAACAGCCCTATCTTTTAAATTTTCCTGAAGCAATTTTATTCAATGTTATCATTTTTAATGGTTATTAAACAAAATTAGGGAAAGAAGGAGTGAAAAGGAAAAACCAAAAGGTGGATTTTTGCCTCTGTGTGCAAAGCTTGCAAAATAATGCACCCACTTGCATTTTCAAGACCAATAGCAGCCTTTGGAATTAACGGTGGAGAGTGGCTATTAGTGGAATCCAGAACAAGCGTTTTATCCTATTTAGGATTCGTCAGCTGGGTGTGTCTTTGTTCTAGTGAGCGATAACACTCCTATTAACCCTCGAACCCAGGACCGATCGCTTTAAACGCCAGAGAGTTACCTCCGAGGTAGCCGCTCCCTGTACTATTTATTAGTAACAACATAATTATACCCGTCGCACAGGGAGTGACATTCTTCGCTCAGTGGCTTAGTGGATAAAGCTCTGGCATTCGAAGCAATCGCCTCTAAGTTAGAATATTAGTGGGAAAAACGTCACCCACTAGGAGGCAGGTGTACCTAGATGATGAGATCCAAATAAGATGAAGTGCACGTCCTGGATATCATTTCTGGCCACCATCCATCATCACCAGCAAAGTGAAACTATAGGCAATAGTGAGACATCTACACATGAACCCATATGCCAATGCACACTAATCCCTTCGGTTTAATTAACGACGGAAAATTATAAGCAGTAACATCAAATTTGAAATTCCTCATGAACACTCGAGCCTTGACATTATTAAGCAACATAGGCTGTTACAACCTACCCATGATGATCAACAGACTTAGCTGGCCAGACAAGAGGTTAACTTTCATGAGGGCGGGTGGATCTCAAAGGAAATCTTGTCCGCAGTACAGTTTGTCAGTTTAAATACTACTTAGCTGTGGAAAGCGGCAACGTCGAACATGCATTTTCTAAATAATCTCCATATCTATCACTCAGAATTGGCCTTTTGATAGTGTTATCTACTTTACTGACTAGAATTAGAGTGATGTAGTTTAGGCGATTCCCTGAAGAGTTAGAAAGAGTTGTACAGGATTATCTGAATTTTGGGAACTCTTAGGTGAAGTCAAGTAATTATTTTTATTATTATTAGTCCCTTGGGTTCCTAGTGGAACATAGGGCTTCAGTAGCACGTCTCCAGTGAACTCTGTCCTCTGAAATCTTTTGAACTTGGCTCCACGACAGCCCACAAGCTCTCATTTCCTCCTCGCACGATCTCCTCCATGTCAGCCTCGCCACGGACGCCCAACTCGTCGCTTCCCATCAGGGTTCCACTCGAGGACATGGCCTGACGCATGATGTCCCCAGTCGGCCTTCTCAGTGTATGCCCAATCCATCTCCATTTCCTTCTCTGCATATTTGTTGAGAGATGGGTTCCTGGTTGGTTAGTTGCCAGAGCTCCTTGCTGCTTATTCTTTCTGACCATCTGATCTTCAGTAGCCAGCGTAGGTGGCAGTTGTTGATGAATATCTGTAGTTTATTGGAAATCCCTTTCGTAACGCGCCAAGTCTTTGGACAATATAGAAGCACTGACTTGACGTTGGTGTTGGAAATCCGCATCTTGTTCAGCATGCTGAGTGCAGATCTCCACACTGGTTTCAGGTTAATGAACGCCTGTCTTGCTTTTCCGATCCTGCCTGGCTTTGACATCCTCGTCTGTGCTGCCTGTAGTTGAAACAGTGCTTCCTAGATAGGTGAAGGAGGCTAAATCCTTTAAGTTTCTCCCGTTGATGGTGATTGGTGCTTGTTGTTGTTGTTGTTGGTTGGGTATCTTCGTCACCTCTGTCTTCTCTATATCCATTTCAAGTCCCGTCTTCGCTGATCCACCTCTTCTGCCAACTTGTTAGTTTTCGCCTGTACATCTTCAAGTTTGTGTGACATCAGACACAAATCATCGGTGAAATCCGAATTTTCTAGGTTCTTTTCTGCAGTCCAGCATGTCCCCCTCTTCTCGCTCCCCACTGTTTGCTGCATGATCCAGTCCACCACAACACAGTCAGGAATATCATGGGTGATCGTAGGCAACCTTGTTTCACTCCTGTCTTCACTTGAAAAGCATCACTGAGCTTCCCATTGTGAATTACTTGGCTGGTATGTGGCGTCTTCATATAGTTGTTGAATGAGGTTGATAAAGGTTTTTGGTATTCTGTAGTGTTGAAGCAGTTTCCAAATTACCTCTCGGTTGACGCTGTCAAAGGCCTTCTCAAAGTCGATGAAGTTGAGGTGGAGATCAGTTTACTGCCATTCTATGTTCTGTTCTATGATTATGCGTAGCGTTGGAATTTGGTCTGCACATGATTTGTACTTCCTGGAGCCTGCCTGTTCAGGTCGTAGTTCTGAATCCAATGTATCCTATAGTCTCTCCAGGATGATGCGGCTTAATATTTTGCTTGCTCTGGGTGGACAGGAGAGTGATTCCACACCAGTTCCTGCAAACACTGGTGTCTCCCTTCTTCAGCAGTTTCACAAGGTAAACCTTCTTTCAATCAGTGGGCAGGTAACTTCTCTTCCTTCCACACCTTCTGCAATAGTGTTGTGGTGTGAGTATGTCCGCTGTTGTCTCTGCGTCTGTTTTCAGTGCTTCTGGAGGGATCCCATCTGGTCCTGCTGCTTTCCTGCATTTCAGTAGCTTTATGGTGTTCAGGACTTCCATTTTTGTTGGAGGATTCATGTCCACTTGTAGTTCTGTGGCTGCATGTGGTATTTCTGGACGAAGTGCAGGTGGTGGTGGTGGTCGATTCAAGAGCTTCTTGAAGTGGTCAGCCCATCGTTTCCTTTGTTTCTCTTCTTTGGCAATTAAATTTCCGTCATCCTCTTTTATTGGTTTCGTCTGCGTTGATCTCCTCCCAGATAGAAACCTGGTTATTTGATACAATGTTGTCAGGTCTGTCTCTCCTACCTGTAGCCTGTTCTGCTTCGCTTGCCAATGTGTCGTAGAAGTGTCCTTCGTCTTTCCCTGCACTCTTATTCACTTCTTTGTCCAGTATTTTATGCATTGTACTCACTTCCTTTTGTCATTGAGCGTCCTTGCACTGGTTTATCTTCTGCTTCATCATCCTCCTCTCCTCTATCAGCTTCCACGTATCCATCGAGATCCATTCCTTGTCTTCCACCTTCTTCCTTCCTAATACTGTTGTGCAGGTTTCTTTCCACATAGCTTTCAAAGACTTCCAGTGTTCTTCCACACAGGTTTCTACAGGGATGTCCCTCGACGTCTCCCATTTTGTCTTGATGGCTGCTTTGAAGATCTTCTTTGTAGTTTCATCCTTCAGTTTCCGAGTGTCGTACTTGAATTGAGGTCTATCACCAGCTTCCTTGAAGGCTTTTAACTTGATTTGGAAGGTTCCTTGCACTAGATAGTGGTGTGAACCTACATCTGCTCCTCTTCTTGACCTTGTGTTAAGTAGACTGCGTCTCCATTTTCTTCACATTGAGATGAAATCGATCTGATTTTTAGTGTATCCATATGGTGTCTGGTAAAATCCATGTCACTTTGTGGATATCCTTGTGCTTGAACACACTGCCTGACTCCAATCACCAAATCGTTGAATGAGCAGAATTCTGCAAACAATTCTCCATTCTCATTCATTTCACCTAGCGTTTCTCGACCCATGGTTAGTTCTCTTCCTGTGTTGTCCCCTCCCAGTTTGGCATTCATGTCACCCCACCCATTAGGATTTTGATATCGCCATCTAGTGAGGTCTTGTCCAGTGTTGATTGCAGTTGTCTGTAGAATTCCTCCTTTTCCTCTTGCTCTGCAATATTTGTAGGTGCGTAGTATTGAATGATTGTGACCTTCCTTCCTTTTGAGTTGAATCTTGCTGTCATGATCCTGGAGGAGATTGGTTCCCACTGCATGAGAGCCTTCGATGCTCTTGGGGACATCATGATTGCCACTTCATGACTCAGTGTGCTCGTGGTTGTCGTCTGGGTGACAATGTCGGAGTAGATTATTGACTCTCTCCAGTTGATAGTTTGGAGAGTCCACTCCCATTCCATCTGCTTCCTCACATATTCCAAGCACTTCAATGTGATACCTTCTCATCTCGTTTGCAATCTGGGCTGCCTTGCCAGCTAGGTTCAAACATCGTGCGGACATTCCATGTCCCCACATTTACTTTCGCTTTCATCGAGAGAGGCGAAGACACATCGGCCAATTGGCTTCCCGAAGGCTTTCACCAACTGGTGTCATTCCGCCTCTCCGATTCCAGTGAGGAATAGTTTTGTTATTATTTTTTATATATTGTTTGTGCTTTGAAGTTTGTTTAGCGGTTGGATTTGTTTTAGGGGGTAGGGTTGCTGGCCCTATGCCCAACCTTCCCTCTTTACCTGGGTTTATGACCGGCTAGTAACAAGTGAACTAGTTAACCAGGCGAAGTTGAAGTCAAGTAACAGTGAATGTTAATTATAAATTCATCAAAAGCCGCTAACTTGTGATCATGTTAATAAATACAAGCGAATGCTCACCTCAAATAGATAATGTGTATTTACAAACTCTGGTACATTATCATTAGCATCTTCTACGGTGATTATTACACTTGCGCTGGAAGAAAGTGATATTGGTACTCCAGAATCTTTGGCAACAACTATCAAGTGATATTCACTGCGATTTTCACAATCCAGTGACTGAATGGTCCATATTTTACCGGTAATTGGATCAATTCGAAAGAATGCAGTACTATTGACATAATTATCGAATATCGATGTTGATGATATTGAAGTTGAATCCAATGTGTTAGTAATTTTTATTGTCGAAGATGGGGTTGATTTATTTGGATTGAGTAAACTGTATGTAATTAAGGCATTTACACCTAAATCAGCATCACTTGCTTGAATTGGTGTCATCATTTGTACTTCAGCGTGAAGTTGATTTTCAATTACTTGACCAGTGTACACGCTTTTCGTAAATATTGGTTTGTGTTCATTTACATCAGTTATAGTAATGTGTAAACTCGCATTTCTTGATAATGCAAATGGACCCTCATCATCTATACATTCAACGATAATCTGTCATAAATAAAAAGCAAGAAGGCTTTGTAAGAATTTTAAAGAAATATAGGCGATTCAATTTGATCAAATCAAATTTTTTGATTAAATGTTAATAATTTGACCTAAATATACTACTGACTGACAAGCGCATTCGTAAGCCACTCAAACAGTACTCACTAGGTACATCAAGGTGATCTAAACATCAAACGGCCGTTTAGCTTGGTTTGCGTAGATAACATCAGTGATGGATGTGGGTTGATTCATTCCAGATAGGTGATTTATATAAAACACCCAAATTCTGTATAGATGCCTATTTGTTTAAATGTATTAACATAAGAATAACAATACTTTAGATAGATTAGACGTCATTTAATAAGTCAGCTATAAAATGCTTTGTTTTTCTTGAAGCAAATCATATTTCATATTATAGACATTTATTTCCTGAGGTATGCTGGTAAAATTAAGAAACACTGAATAGGAAAATGACTGTAATTGACCGAGTTTTACAAAACGGACGTATCATGAATAAAATGTACCTTCGATTATGGTTTAACTGTATAGTCATCACAATTGGAGTATCTTGTTACGGGTCGATATCAGATTTGAAATGAAGTCCTCACTATCATATAGTCTGTTAAAACGTTTGTTATCACTAGTTGTGTCCCAAAAATAGGGTACAGACAAAGGACTATATAATACTTTTATTGTTCACCGTTAGTAAGGGATTTCACACTAGACTTTTAAGGTAAGTAGTTTTTTCCTTACTGAGGTGTGCAATAGTAGTCTCTTGAAGTCAGCATTTAAAGTACATGAACAATTCCTATTTTAGTTGAATTACTTGCGAAATTACTATCGTGTTGATTGACAAAAACTAACTTCTTTCCTCATTTTCCAGAGGTTGACTAATGCCGACTGCCGTATATTTTATGAAAACTGTGTGCAAGGGAGAGTTAAACTTTTGCTTTGTATATCACAGCAGGAAATTAATCATCCACGTAATTTCTTATCCTTTGTAACAACATGACTGTAAGTAACCACGAATTGGCCCTTATTTTCAGGATGGCGTTTAGTTGCGAGCACAGTAATTTTTGTCTAGTTCACATATACTTTGCTGGCACATATGTAGGTATGCTATGCGATATATTTATTCTGAGGCTATCCGTCTTAAGGCAGTTTCAATTTCTAAATATTTAAACCAAGAGTAAGTTAACGCTTCTCTGCTAAGCGTTTTCTTTGTTTTTTTAATGCAGCTTAATTAGTTCTGTTTGTCTCCATCTTTATTCATCTACGTGATTGCATTCACTATAAATGAATCCTACACTTTTATTGAAATTATATACCCTGTTTTCTTAACCTTGAGAATCAAGCGTAAGAAACACACTTATATAAAGGGATTCTCACTTAATCAACCGACGCTAATTTCAAAGAAATGAGATAGCCAATCAAAAAGGGGCACACAATCTCCAGCTAAAGGTTATAAAGGGTTCAAGCCTACATGAGTTCTTCGAAGGTGACTTTCATGAGCACTGGATGGTTAAGTTGATTTCCTCAGTGATTAAAAGATACCTAAACACGCCACTCATGAATCCCGGTATCACGAGGAAAACTCAGGAGAGTTAGTAAGAGACAATGATAAGAAAATAGGCAACATTTGATAACAACAAATAAACCGATGATCAAAACTCCGCCAGGTATGAAGGTGATTTCTTTAATTTGGTATAAATCAACAGGCCAAGTCTAATTCAATTAAAATGAAGATTTGCGATGAGTTAATTCACAGTCCAAAACAGATTCCAAGTTATTAATTAGATGCATCAAACAGTAAAACAGTATTATTTACTGGATAGGGTTTCAGAAATAAATTATAGTCTATATTAATATTAAGTTTTACTTCCATATTTGTTCAAAAACGTGATCTTAATGTCATAGGTAGTAATATATGCCCTGACATGTGAACGTGTCATCTTATTCACCATTTCAACAACTTTTTTCAGCAAAGTTTTACCTCATTTACACATGAAATAACTTTTTGTTTTAAATTTAATAAGATGCATCAAAAGTATTTGTGAATACAAAAAGTTTTGTTATCTGTTTTGATTAACTTTCCTGTCAATAACCTCAGAGGTAAACTAGAGTTAAATTGGGAGAGATAAACAATGCTTCCTTTGAATCTTAGTGTTTCATTTGATTTTTCGCTTTTTTATCTTTTCCTCTTGTTGCATCTTCTCTTGATGAGCTTTGTTTATTCATCTTTTCATTCTATATTTCCTACTTCCATATTCTTGGGATACTTTTCATTAATACACGATGGACAATAAAAACTTTAGTCTCATAAATCGGGTATTAGTCATATTGAAATGTCAGAGAATTAACTTCATCTTTATGCTAAAGAGCTGCTGTGTAGTACCTCCGATATGCAGAGATCTAAGCCTACAGGCATACATACACTAACACACACATGATCTACATATTTTGACCCTTTAAGTACCTTTGAAAAACTTCGACTGCGAAAAGCACACGGATCTCATTTAGAGAAAGTTTATTTGCATATAGATTAGGATTATAATAAGGAAGAAGCAATGAAAAGGCAATGGAAGATATAGGGAAAATAAGGAGTGTATAACAACGATAAAGAAATGGTATAACATATATATATATATATATATATATATATATATATATATATATATAGAATATGGAAGATTCTTAAACTTATTTAAATCGTTATAAAGACGGTTTATGAGATTCGTAGTAAATTAGAGACAGTAAGAATCTTTTCGACTAAAAATTATGAAATCAAAAGTTTGTGTTTTTTTATGCTAATTTTTCCAAATGGTTTTCTCTGATCATGCAGTTTTAAAGCAAAAAATGAACTGATCCGTAAACATTGTTGTTAGCCAGACTTGTGATGCAGAAGTCTGAGAGAACAGTAAGTCTTCTCCACCTAGTGAATAATCATAAGTGTTATATTTACAGTGAGTGCATGAATTATAAATCCTAAGGACTGTAAGCTTTACATACGGAACTGAGAGTTAAGGAAGGATCTGAAACATGCCGCATTTTGTTGAGTTTAGTATGCAAATGAGTGTAGTTTCAGTTCACATTTATCACCACGGAGAACGAGATGAGTATGTCCCATCTGAATTTGGTTTAATGGTTCGGTAGATGGTGAGAATACTCAGGATTTCAACCTGCCCAATTTCGACACCAAGCAGTGTTTCAGATGTAACCTCCGTTACTTAGTTCGTGAGACAACAACTGTGAATCACTGGTCAGGTTTCATTACCAGGTGAACAATTAATATACTCCTATACTTCTACTAAGCATAAACCACAGGGAATATCTCTCAAATTATCTGACGCCAAAGCTTAGCCAAATGATTTCTAATAATTTAGGTTATACTTTTGTTTGAATTTTTTATCATGAATAAATTTACTTAACCTGTGTTGAGTTTTACCTCCACTCTCTTGCTTTAGCCCATCTACTAACCAAAGTGCTTTGAACGATGGTGTGCAATAAAATTTTTATCAAGAAATATAATGTTTATTAATCAAATGGAAGCAGTTATGTTACATACACCGTTGCTAGTCGTATGACTATCATGCTATGTAAAACTATTTGATGGGATTAGTTTTAAATCCAGATTCGAGGTAATTGCCATGCCGTTACAGAAACAGGAAAAAATGCAGTCTCATGAAAGTAGAAAATTTACTTAAAACGCTATTATTTATACTGGAAATTGACTAAGAAATATAGACTGATGGATAACTAGTAGTATTTTGACGCAGGTGTAAAAAGCGGTAGAAGCACATATGGCGCATAACTCTGGAATCTAACATCACACTGAATCGGTGTAAGATAATTTCTATCGAAGTAGAGTGCATCAACTAATCAGTTATGGCTACAGATCTAGACATTTTCTTACTAAAAGCTCAATGTGCAATACAGTCCTACCTCAAAAAGAAATATCTGAAACACTTTTTGTTTACATAAGTCAGCGACACTAGGCTTCGGAACTTCATTTTAAACAGCTCTAACTATAGTATCGAGTCACTGAATTCAATAGAGTAGCGTTTCGCACTAAACTTACAGGTATCAGACTCTACCTCATAACTGTTCAATATCTTAACTGTGCACTTAAGATTTAATAGTGGGGATGACTTCATATTGTGTTTCTCGGCTTACTTCGTTACTTTACTGGAATCTGAATATTTTGTTGAATGCTAATTTATGATAACGATAGTATCACTCATTGATAAATGCAAGTAAATGGAAAGAAGTTCCATCTGTTCTTCCTGCTGATTTATAAAATTCGGTTTCAACAAGGATTTCGCTTTATTGCTAATCTGAACCTTGGAAACATCTATTTTACTGATTAGTATTATAGAGAAGAATAGGCTAGTACACTACCACGATATGATGAAGAACATATAAAAGGAAATAAAGTAATGGTGAGATGAATGAATATGTAAACACATATATACATATGTGGTTGGGAAATACTAATTGCAACTTCTGGGTATGATAACCAAGTAAAATTCACATACTAGGTTATAAAAACCATCCACTTAAGTTAACAGTTTGAAATCTCAACATATTGCATTCACTGGAATTGATTGAGAAGTAGTTGGTGAAAGTTTAAAAACTGGAGATGATTTCCGGCATTCATGGGGAAGGTACTAGAAAATATACCTATTCCCCTGAAAAAACCGCCACATGATAAAATCCACATCTAAAAAACAACCTTTTGTCAAACTTAACAGGAAAATCAATTGGTTATGAAGACTACCTTTAAAGTAGTTTAATCCCCACAAAGAACTGGAGGAGAACACAATAATTATTCATTAGTGACTAACTTGGAGATAGTTTTTCTGAAGTTTTAATGCAAAATAGTGACTGGTAGGGTTGAACTGAAAAAAGGATATTACTTGATGGTTACACTGTACTGCAATTTCACACAAATACAGAAAAACAAGCCATTGCATTTCAAAGCGATTACTTGCCTTTACTGTGTTTGT